TGTGATCATCTTTGTGGCCTCCTCTGGACCCAGTCCAACAGGTCTACGTCCTTCTTGTTTTGAGGACTCTAAAGCTGGATGCAGTACTCCAGGTGAGGTCTCAGCAGAGCAGAGCAGAGGGGCAGAATCACCTCCCTGGCCCTGCTGGCCACACTTCTTGTGATGCAGCCCAGGATGTGGTTGGCCTTCTGGGCTGCAGATGCACATTGGTGGCTCATGTCCAGCTTCTCATCCACCAGCACCCCCAAATTCTTTTCCTCAGGGCTGCTTTCCAGCACATCATCTCCCAGCCTGTATTGGTAACAAGGATTGTCCTGACCCAAGTGCAGGACCCTGCACTTGGCCTTGTTGAACCTCATGAGGTTCACCTGGGCCCACTTCTCCAGGTCCCTCTGGATGCCATCCCATCCCTCTGGCACATTAACCTCACCACCCAGCTTGGTATTGTCAGCAAACTTGCTGAGGGTGCACTCAATCCCACTGTCACTATCATTAATGAAGATATTGAACAGCACTGGTCCCACTACAGACTCTTGAGGGACACCACTTGTCACAGTCTTCCATCTGGACATGGAGCCATTGACCACTACTTTCTGGATGTGACCACCCAATATAAAGGGAAGTGGAGCACAAACAAAGCAATTAAAATGCTCCCGCTAGTGTTTCCATCATGTAAAAATGTAAGTCTATTAATTCTCCAAAATTTATTTAACACTATTTCCACTACGAAGTCTTTGTTAACTTTCAAAGAATAATTGAAGACATTTTCCTCACACTATCTTCTTGTCAACTGAATTAATAAAGATTATGGTCTATTTCAGACACTGTAAATTAAAACTGTTCTTAACTGAGTTACAACTACAGCAAAATAAGCAAAACAGACAGAAGAAAGAGCAAACTCAAGCATTCCTATATTAATTTAGTACCATAGAATCATTGAATAGTTTGGGTTGGAAGGGACCTTAAAGATTATCCATGTACATCAGGGCAGCTCACCAGGTAGATAAGCTTTGACAAACCGACACCATAACCAGGAAGATTCAAACACGAGGGTGGATGCCACAATTCTGAACACACTGATACAAACCAGTTCACTTTCAATTCAGGTACATGAGGCAATCCTTGTTCAGTAAACCTGTCTTATCAATACTGCCAGAGCATAACACTCAGTGAGCAAGGAAAGGAAATTAATCAACAGGTACGAAATGCAAGTTGGTATTCAAAAACGCCCCAACGCTTTTGTTTTAATTAGAAACTTAGAGATGGTATTTCAGACATACTTGTTATCTTCAAAGTCATGCATAGCAGGGTGTGAACAAGAAGATGAGTTATCCTTGTTCCTTTTGCTTATTATTCTGGGTTTGTGATCAAAACATTTCTGGAATACAAAAATAGGTAATTACCGAGTATGTATTTTATACATTTAAAATAAACACCTTAAAGATTTTAAACAGAGACATCACGTGGTCTCTAGTCTAAAGCTAACCAGATTATTACTGAACATGTATTCCAAAATTTACAAAATAGTCCTACATGAACCAAAGCATTTATTTCCAGCTAATTTTATTATCTATTATCATTTTTATGTAATTATTAGAAATAAAGCAGCACCTCACAAAGAAACATAAATAATCCATGATGTTCTTGAAGAAGTCTGGACACAGTCAAGCTGATCTTTCCATTTCCTCCAAAAAGAGCTTCTCGACTAAAGGCTCCTTTGCGCTCCAGTGTCCACACATCTATCTCCTCCTGGCAATACGCAAACGTGCAGTGACCTGGATATCTGCATTCCTCTTCAGCAGCAACATCTGAAATGATAGCATCGAATATGACATTGCTTTTGCACAGCTTTTATTGGAAGTCCATCTTAAAAGTTACACTACCTGCATTTCAAATCTAGTTTCTTTATGGAAAGCATCTGTTGTAAGTGGATCACTTCCATCTAGCAGACAGAAGCAAACCCTTATGCTGAATGGCTTGCTGAAAATGTAAAACTCTCCAGAAAGGCTGATGCACACCTCCATCACCCATCCTTCTGTAGTCTAAGGCAACAGTGCTGAGAACCCAGAACACCCTTTACTTGAATACAGTCAGATAGAGCTGCTCATTAATCCAATCTGGCTTAAACCATACACAGAGGTTCATACTGCAAGTCCAGCAAGAATGCTTTTTTTGTTGTTTCGAATAGTAACAGCCCAGCACTTGGAAGCAAAGTGATTCATTATGAAAAACAGTACAGAAATACAGTGCATGTTCTCTAAATAATCACATTCATGGCCAAAACATGGCTCTGCTTACAGCCTTGGAAAATACAGACAACCCAGTGAACTTCCTTCTCCACCTCCCATAAGCAAGAAATAAAAACTCCTTCTGTACTTCACTGTGGAAAAGCTAAACTATACTACTTTGAGTATAGGCATTAACAATTTACTATGTGTAACACATACCTTTACATATATAATAGGGTCCCACATACTGCGTCTTTGTTGGTCTTGGACGTATTTTTTTCCATGATTTATCTTCAGAGTTTTTTATTCTGCCAATCAGAATATCCTTCTTACATTTATGTTCTAAACTGGGATGGTAAGCATAATCCAATAATTTAGGACCTGGAAAAAAAAAATCACAGAAAACTGCTTATATGTCTATTAATTGCACCATACTTTTAACATTTCCATACACAGACTGGCACGTAAGCCCAAAGGTAAAGTACATAAACACATTGTACAGAATTCCTACTTGCACCAGCAGCTCTGAAGAAGCAAAAGTCATTAACAGCCACGTTGAGCAGAATAGAAAAAAAACGAATACTTACAAAAGGACCAGCCTCAGCAAGGAAAAAACCAACCCCCAGGTTATGTGAGGTGGGTTGCTGTGTTACAGCCTTGAGATTGTTTTGGGACAGCAACAAACTGCTCTTCTCTCAAATTCCAAAGTATACGCTTCCGTTGCACTAATTCAAAACTTCAATTGCTTATTTGTAGTAACTCAGTGCAGAAGAATTCCAGGGATCAGCAAACAGCTCTCTTAACCTTCAACTTTTATTGTATTTGAACAGTTACTCTATTCAAAGGCAAAATAGGTACCTTACACTAGGTAAGAAGTACACATGTGCCAAAAATACAAATGCCAATCCCAGCACTTATATGATTCTAGAAACAAAAACATGCCTAGCTTTATGCTCTGTCTTTAGGATGGTACTGAAGTCAAGATTACATCACCACTGAAATTAAGAAAGCAGGGAGAAAGTCTGAAGATGAGCAACGCTCAGTGCATTTTGTGGACTGCAAAAACAAGAGCGCAACCCGGTTTCCCCGGACAAGAAGCTGATGGAACAGTACAATTTCAAAAGTAGGCAATAAAAGCAGGAGTCACTTAAAGGCTTTGATAGAGATGCAAAGAAACAGAAGAAACAGATGCTTTGATAGAAGAAGTCAAGATAGGAACACACTAAGTACTTCCAACAACGTTTTATAGCTCCTGCTTTTAAAACAGAACATGTTCCATGGTTTTTCAAACATCACTTCATGGATTTTTCTTGGTGTTAGTTTAAAACTACTTTTACAAGTTCTTAAAACTACAGGCAGTCATCCCCCAAATGTCTGGATGCGATTCCTTGTAAGATCTGTTACTACGCTGCACTTCATTAGTGTATCAATATCAGCAGCACCTGTAACTTGCAACACAATGCTTATTTTTCAGATTAGTCTCAATAAAAGCTATTGCCTCTAGAATACAGCTCTGTTCACCAGCAATAGCTTAGGCCTAAAAGATTAGTTATATTAAAGCCCAATACTGGTTAAGATCCTTTGAGTCAATACAGTGGAGTTAATTATTACTAAGGTTTGGAAGCCTCAGGATTACGATTTAGAATTAGTTTGAAAGAACAATAAAACAGATGGGATGTGAAGGTTACCAGGCACTTTGAACTGCGGTTCAATTCCCCATGGCCAATCAGAGAGAGTATTGCAAGGTTTTTTTAAGTCTTGAGCAAAGGTGTCATTCTTCACAGCACCCTGGGGGTTTGGAGGAAAGCGAATACAGAACGTGAACGACCTTACACAGTAAACCTACAGGCTGGGGAAAGCGTGTGGTGATCTGTGATGGTTTTAGGAGTCAAGAATCTATTTAGGATAAGAAAAAGACAAGAAAGACGGTAAAATAGTTGTTAAGACGTTTTACCAGTGCCTTAATCATAAGATCGTTCTACATCTGCAAAGAACAGGTCAGGATTAACATGTTTAGAAGCCAATAGTATTTTAACTTCTGAACACCAAAGTTTTAAATATACACTTCTTAATTTTTTTAAAATCAAGCCGATTCAGCCCAGAAGCCCCTTACCTTTTTTGACAAAACATAACTGGCAGGCCTGCCTTAGCTCATGTGTGCCTTCTAGTGGGTTTCTTCCCGTAAGTGCTGAAGACACAGGTACATTAGCAGTTGCACTGCTAAAAACATTTGAGAAGTCATTTCTAGTTTGGCCTGCAATTCCCATGTAATTTTCAGATCCAAACAAACTACTAGGGCCATTTATCTGCTGGGAAAAAAAGCATATATTACTTGATTCACATAATGTATCTACAATTAAAATCTAACCTACTGAAATTATTCCTCAAAGTGTAAGACAGCCTACGCAGAGAAAATTTCTAATACAAACTTAACCGCATGTCTACGACGGGGACGCAGATATTTTTACAAAGGCATTTATCCAGCACAGACTAAGCAAGTAAGGCCTAACCAGGCACAGGGAGAGGAACAGCACTTGCCAGGCTCATTATTACTCCCTCCTGGCTCACACGGGTGCAGTCCTTCACGCCACGCTTGCTCACATTATCAACAGCCAGCACCAGGACTGAGAACACCCAGCACTGCTTCAACAGAGACCAGACGGGTTCTCACACACACAGCGGCCTCTGCTCTGCTCCTGCACCAGGACAGTTCTCCAGGATTCCTGACATTTGGCACTCAGATCATTAGAGATTTTCTCTCCCTTAGGTTGGTTATTTTACACTTCCACACTATTTTCAAGCAAGCTCCTCAGAATGGAGGAGTGGCTATGACAGCAGTCAATGTCTGCATACGTAAAACAACTTCTGTACTTTTTTCCTTGTGTTTAATTACTGCTGCTGTGAGCTACTGTACAACTGTTTTCCAAGCCAGAATCATATTTTAATGGTAAAAGTGACATTTTTAAAAAATATAACCTTCTACTGTAAAAATTAAGGTCTATGTTAAGCCTTCAAGGCATTAACATTTGAACTGATGTGAAAGAAAACGTGAAAAATACTTACGAACAGCGGGGAGTTATTACTACTAAGAGTTGGTGTTCCATCCCTAGAAGCTGAACTTGAGAGGTCTAAGGGAATAAAAAAGAAGTTTTAATTACTGCAGTTCCCCAAAACATCCTATGCAAAAAAATATTTCTCATTCCTCAGAAGTATCAAAGGTTTCTTTTTCTGACAGACGCAAAAGTTGGTTTTGTTTTCTATGATTATTTTTTCAATAAACATCCAGTCTGAAAAAGTCCTAGGTAATCATCTTCAGTATAACCATCTGATTAACCTCAGCAGTAGTTTCACAGACTTAGGCTGAAGCAACATGAAGCTCCTCGTGCAGCATGAAAAAGGATAACTAGATAAGCAATACCTGACAATCAAAAGTGAGACAAAAGAAGGTTAAGAGCATTCTTCTATTTTTAATGTTATTTTGTAAACTGGGCTTTTTTTCTAAAGACAGCATGCTCCTATAACACTGGTAAGTACAGACAACACTTTTTATCTGTTCTAGTTCACTGGCCATTTATATCTTGTCATTTCACTACATCACCATAGTCCCTGGAGTTTGAATCTGAACACGTAATACCGGTACCTTTTCAGAGGACACAGTTATATTGGCCTTTCACAATTCTTGTTTATTGTCAAAGCATCAGAAATGGTTTAAGCTTTGTTTAAAAAAAAAAAAAAAAAGGTGGAAGTAACACGGTTCCTTCTTTATACTCATTTACCTGCAACAAGTAACTTGCACAGTAACTGCCGAAAAACTGAACAGAGGAGCAAGCTTATGCCGACCCCAGGCAAACAAAAGCTTTATTGGTAAATTCTTGTGTACAACCAACATTGATTATCAATACTTTAAAAAACCTGTAAGCACAGATCAAATGCTACGTAAGCACTACCTATCACTGAATGGTTGTGAAAGCTCATTCATTAAAAGGAGAAGCCAGTTGGCTCATGCGCAACTCGCTCTCATCATAAAAGGTTAAATATTAAAGACCGATTTCTTACCTCTTTTTGGGTCACTGATTGAAAAGGTGCTTAATGGCGAACAGAAATTTTCCAGTGAAGAAGCCAAAGGCTGTGAAAAGATTTCCGAAAGAGAAGGCGAAGGAACAAACCCTGCGCTCACTGGCAGTGTCCCCAGCAAGGAGGTGGAGAAGGGTACACTGGGAGCTACGCTGCCTGCAGGAATAGGTCCTCTGGCTCCTGTAGTTTGCTGGGAAAAAAAAACAATAAAAAGAACGTTCACACACACCAAAAAAGCTCTCAAGAGCACAGTCTGCAGTAGCATTTCTTTAGTAAAGTTTCTGGAAAGTTTTTAGAAACCTACTGAAAACCAACTGTACAGTACTGTACAGAGCTACCCTGCACTTGGGGAACTCAAGGAATCAATCCCTAATGCATGGAATTACCCATGAATCAACCACGTGAAAGGTTTACTTGGCTGAAGTTTATTACCTTCTTAACAGATGTGGACTTTTAATCTTTTTTTTAAAATAGAGCTGAATTTCCAAATTACGGATTTTTTTTTTTTTAAATTAACCAGACTATGTTAAAAGTGTAAGACAACAGGAAGAGCAGGAAGAGTCAGAAATCAATGTGATTTTCTTCTAAATAAAGAGAACATGATTCAAATTGCTGTACAGTAAAGAGTTAAGAGTTAGCTTTGAAATAAATCCTCAGATACACTTCAAAGAAACTCCTCCCTTGTCTGGAGGTTGCCCAAATAGGTTTGCACAGAGTTTGGCCAATGTGAAACTCCTGTTACCCAAATCGTTGGCCTGCAACTCACTCACGTTTCTACACTACACGAGACTGCAGTTTATCGTGGAAGACTGTATTTCCTCCTGGCTTTCACTACGGCAAACTTCCGAGGACCTCGTAAAAACAATTACTTTCTACATTTCTGAAACATATTCTACAAAACAAAGCGCAGAAAACAAAAAAATTTAGAAGCCCAAGCACTTTTTATATAAATATTTACAACTGCATCCACAGCTGAATGAGGAATTAAAATCACAACTGATTGAAGAATTAAAGATGCCACGGTCTCATGGAGCATTGCAATTCCAAGGGCTTCAAAGGCCTGACAGGGGCACGGCAGAGTCAGGAACCTTGCTCGTAAGTTCAGATGTCTCTGCTGATCAATCCGAGCTCTCATTTTAACTCACAGCTGAGGAACTCTGTATGCTCCAGGCTGCTCTAGCTCTGGAACGATGGTGTCATTAAAAACAATTCTTCATGTGCCTAAATGTCTCTAATAAGATCTAAAAAATAAAACAAGTCAGACTTATGCTGACCTAACTGTCCAGCAGCAGGTCTGGACAAAGCTCTGAGTGCAGAGATACCAGTGAACACACGAGAAGACCACGGTGCAAGTACTGCTGTCCTGCCAAGCTATCGGCACGTGTTTAACTGTTGTTTCTACAGATACAGCACGGGCCCTCCAACACACTCAGGTTCTGAGAGGGTTTATTTGCACCAAAAAAGCCCCAAAAACACACTAGCCCAGACTTCAAACATCTACTTCTCATACTACTTCCTGGAAGTAATGGTAGCAGTACAGCAGTATTCCTCAAGCAGCATCCCTCTCCCAGCAACCTCGCTCAGGTTTTCCAACATGCAAACCCAATGTAATTGGGTCCTGGTATCTCTACAGGCACGTTTGCAAGAACCTCGCACCTGAGAAAAACAACCCAACTGCACAAATACAGCTCAATGTAACTAGAAAAGTGTCTTGTTTTGAGCTAAACAGAACTACTTTTCTATTTAGTGATTTTACTTTTCAGCTCAGTCTCTTCTGTTTCAAGCAAGTTTCAAGGCTGAACTTGCTGAAACTAATGGCATGTTTTCCCAGACAGTGTGCACTGCTACAAGTGATAATGGCAAGGCCACTGTCTCACCATGGGTGCTGTGTCTGCATCTACGGGGAGGAGCAGACCCAAACCTGACCAACGAGGTATTGCATCCCACACACGCCACACTCAGTGTAAAGCTGAGGGATCACCAGGGTCTTGACCCTTCCATCTTGGATCCTCCCTCCCATCTCGAACCCTTCCCTCCAGCTCTTCTGATCCTGCCATGGCCAAAGTCCCAGCAGACCCTGCTGGTTCATCTGCCTCTGATCCTGATCCCTGTGTTCCTGCATCAGCTCCCACTGCTGCTGGGTCCAGTCTGGGACTTTTCCAGTGCCCTGCTCTGCAAGCCTCTGGTGACGTATTCGTCATTGGGGGAGGGCGGGGGGAGGATTTTATATTGGTTTTGTATATATATATTTGTACATATTTCGATATATTCCATTATTTTCCTATTTACAATATTATCTGTAGTATTAGTGTTATTGTTTCATTAAACCTCTTAGTTTATTTTCCAACCCGTAAAGTCTCTCTCCCTTATTCCCTTTTCTCTTCCCTTCTGGGGAGGGCAGAGGGGTTAACAGAGAGCGTCTGGCCAGGGTTTAGTGGCCATCCCAGCTTGAAACCACAACAGAAAGTTAAACTCACATTTCACTACTAGCCTACTTGATAAAACTACAAGATCCCACTCATAAGGACAGTCGATTGAGAAAGAAAAGAAACAAGCAAGTCTTACCATTACACTTTCATCTGGATCAGGCACAGAATCAAGTAATTCATCAAGTTCTTCCCCAATAATTATATCTCCATCTCCACAATCTAAACATGCTTCTGGCACAGAGAAAGAAACATTCCCTCCATTTGTCAACACCGTAGAAGACAAAGAAACCTTTTCCATTTGAAGAGGCATAACAGAAGATAAAGATGGTACAGGTACTGATGACACTTTAGTCACTTCAGAAACCAAGTTTGGTGAAGCCGCAGAAACCATCTCTTGCTTCTGGTCAGATAAATCTGAAACAGATAAGATGGGAAATGACTGAAAGTTTTGTTCAAAGATGTAAAAATATCTTGCGTAACTTTTACCCTGATAATGTTGGGGGTGAAGGAATGGAGAAACATGAAGGATGTCTAAGCAAAATCACATTAAATGTTTTCGGCTTCCACTAACTTCCAATCCATGTGTACCTATAGCTCGGTGTTCATATATTGCTCAAACTAAAAGACAGGAAAAGTTACAAACCAGACACTTCACTAAATCTTTGGTATATTCTCCCCTCCCTATTTTTGCAAGCTGAAGAGAACAGTATGAGATGATCACTATAAGAGCAGTTACAATCATGACAAGTTGAGGAGACCGAAAAAAAATTTGCTCAGCCACCCGAATACGTAGTTCTGGAGACAAACAGACCCGAGTTTTTCTGCTGCAGATCTTTCAAATGACAAGCTGAATTTTCCTTCAGAAATTTTAGTACAAACACAGTAAGATATACATGACATATCTAACTTCCTAGCATGAGTACTGTAACACAAGACTCACCTAACTCAATATCTTCTACAGAAGAAGAAGAATTCTGTAAGTGAGAAAAAAAATACCTCAGTGCTTTGCACAAGAGCCATTAAACATTTTCAAATATGTATTTACAGACTAAGAACGCAAGTCCTCAAAAATTTAGGTTTTATAACATCTGAAAATGATAAAGTCTAAAAGAATTTAAAGGCCAAATAATTGTTGAGATAAAGCAGCCATTTGCAGACTGAAATCCACTCACAGTATCGCTAAAAATGTGCACCAACCCACAAAAGTGAGAGTGACACCTGAGGGCATGAGAGAGTCCAAACAGCATCTTAAATAAGCTGTTCCTGTTTCCATGAGAAAGTCTGTAAGATAAAGATGAACTCTTCTCCATCACTGCTACTCAACACACTACAAATAGGAAGATAAATGCAACTTCAGCTGCCAGTGAAGGTGAAATTTGGACAAATGCACAACTTAAAAGAGCTTTTATCCCAGCACCCTTCACATTGATAATCGTCAGCTAAGTAAGAAAAGTAAATAGATAACCACATTAACTACGCCCTTTCCTCAAGACATTAAAAGTAAATATATTCATTACACTGGACTTGATGTTTTAGCTAACATTTATTCTACAAAGATAACTGGAGTGATTCTCTTATGGTCTAGTCTGCCAGCAATATATAGCAAAACTAAACACAAAGACCGACAGGGCCCTGAAGTCCAGAATCACATCAGCTTAACTAAAAAGCCAATTGCACTATTTTCTCTTCACCATAATGAAACTGTGGAACAATTGTTCCCTGCAGTTTATCGTCAGCTTGCACTAGGAACATGTAAAACCTTACCTGACTTGATACATCACTAGAAACTGAATTTGAGGAGGGCGGCTGCAATGAAAAGACACCTCCATTAAACACAAAATCGGTATCAAGAGAGGGAAACTTCAGTGTAAAATGTTAAAAGAAAATCTTACCTTTGCTCTTATATATGCTTTCCTTATTTTTAACCCTAGTTTTTGAGCTAATTCTTGGGTAAGCTTAATCACACTTTCATCCTAAAAGACAAACAAAATTTCAGCATTTTCAGTTCAGTTCATCTAGTCAAGACATGTGTTTACATCTCAGTCTGCATTCTGCAGGATTCCTGTATGCAGGATGTCTCACAGTGCAACTTCATTCCTTCAGAAACACATGGGATGGCAAGCTAATGCTGAAAAATACAGCTCCCCTCAAGCAAGATTACTCCAATATTTTGACTTTTTAAAAAGCCAGAAAATGGTCAGTATCCGTCTGTTCCGTTTATTTGAATTGAAAACAATGTAAAGATTTTTCCAAAACCAGAGGAGTTCAAAGAAAGTGGGGTTTTTTTTGTGGGTGGGTTATTTTTTGTTTGCTTACCTGGGGAAATGTTTCGTTTTTTGAGAGGATGTGGGGTTTTTTTGTTTTATTTTCCACAAATTGAGGGCTACATTTCTGATTACCATAATGTCAGAATATTTGATGAGAACTCTGTATTTTGGCAGTGACTTGAGTTAAAAACTTTGTCATATTTCACTCCATATTATAATTATAGTAACTGTCAATTTAAATTCTTCTAAGATTTAGTTTTCAGAACATGTCCCATAGCTAGGAAAAGCTACTTATAAAAGTTACACAAAAGTATATACACCTTAAGCAAAAACATTCAGATCTGGAGATGCAAAGCAAGGATCCAAAGTTGTACATTCAGATAAACTGCTTCTGTCTTTGGAAACACAACTGAAACTTTCTCTACATCAAGCACTAAACACATGCTCAACAGTTTGCTTTTCTATGTCAAAATTACAGCGTAATGGCTAGACAAGACCAAATGCAAATCAGTATTCTGTCCTGCAATCAGTCTATTTTGAGCAAATCGTGTCAAGTCTCCATCAGTATTTTAGTTCAAATCAGGAACATATTTCTGAAGTGAAATCTTTTAAACATCCTGGTCAATGGCATCCTGGAGTGGATGAGAAGGGGTGGTTGTAGGGCAGAGAGGTTCTCCTGCCCCTCTGCTCTGCCCTGCTCACACCACAGCTGCAATCTTGTGTCCAGTTCTGGGCCCTCAGGTCAAGAAGGACAGGAACTGCTTGAAAGAGTCCAGCAGAGCCGCAAAGATGCTGGAGGGAGTGGAGCATCTCCTGCTGAGGAGCGGCTGAGGGAGCTGGGGCTCTTGAGCTTGGAGCAGAGGAGACTGAGGGGTGCCCTCATTCCTGGGGATCAATTGGGAAAGGGCAGTGTCAGGAGGAAGGAGCCAGGCTCTGCTCTGGGATGTCCAATGCCAGGACAAGGGGCAATGGTCCCAAGCTGGAGCACAGGAGGTTCAAGCTGAACATGAGGACAAACTTTTGTCAGTGTGAGGGTGGCAGAGCATGGCCCAGGCTGCCCAGAGAGGTTGTGGAGTCTCCTTGTGTGCAGACACCCAAAGCCCTGGCCGTGTTCCTGTGTGACTGCTCTGGTGATCCTGCTCTGGCAGGGGTTGCACTGGGGGAGCTTTCCAGGGCCCTTCCAACTCCTGATATTGTGTGACTCTGTGATCCTCATTCACTGCATTTTAGTTTGCATTATGAAGGGTCTCAGAAAGCCAAATTAGATTATTTTTGGATGAAACTAAATTGAAAGTGCTGCGGATGCTGCACATGATGCACCCCAACTCTTTTTAAAACAAAAGAGAAACAAGCCCCATAACCAACCATGCACATCAGACCCTCAAGACCAGCATTTCAGTACAGCTCCTCTCCTATTAAACCGCACACCACTCGCTGATATGGATACAGCCTGAGGTCAGAGTAAGTCATTCAGATGGACAATGCACAGGTAAGAATGCTACTAAATGCTTGGAAAGTTAAGATACAATCATCAAAAGAATCAATATTCTACGTTATAATTACGGGTAGCTGTTCTCTTTATGTCGTCAGTACATTTAAAACTGTAAAGATTTTTAAACAATTAATTCAGTGGTTCTAGTGTTTACCGCAAACATTTATGGCACTTGATCCCCACTGCACAGTGACTGTTTCTTTTCCTGAATGTTAACACAGCAAACTGAGCCTGGGCACCGTATCTCTGCTATCAGCCTTCACTTCCACAATAAAAAATAATTCTTGGAGGAATAAAAAATATTTTGGTGCATTAAAAAAACCCAAAGCATCCAGAGAACCTTCAATGGTCTTGATGTAAGGATGTTTTCTTTATTAAACCTTTAAAAATAATCATCAATATATAATTTACCCACCTGCGGCACAGCGAGAGAACATTTTGCTACTGCATCATAAGCCTTCCTATACCTTCCCAGCTCCTTCAAAGCTTTTGCTTTCCGATAGAGAGCTCTAAAATTGTTTTCATTCAGTCGCAATGCTATCTCACAGTCTTCTAGAACTTTTTCATGCAATCCCTACGAGGAAGGGGGAAAAAAAAGAGCATTAATCAGAACTATTATTGAAATCCTGAATTCAGACTGTATTAGATGAAGGCATGGAAACACCACAGAACATTCACCAAGGTCACTGCACACTGCTGCAGGAGTTCTGCTAAGCCACCGACTCATGCAACTAAAAAGAAGCAGGGCCATTATCCACGTAAAATGCAGTAACAGTTATGAAGACAATTCAGCTCTTTCACAAGAGCCATCTTAATGCACAGAGGAGGCAGCAGACTCGGGTGCAATCAGCAGTATAAATGGATAAATAAACTGTTCCATCGGCTTCCAAACCTTGCATGACTCTTTTATGTTAATATTCTAGTATTAGTAACTAAAAATATCTCAGTGACTGTACCTGTAAAAGGAAGAGATTAAATAGCATGCTAAAACGATGATCTGTGCCAATTCTCAAACCAACACCAAGAGCTTTTCACTCACTAGGAGACTTTCCATGTCTTCTTACTCTGTTAGTGCATTGCTCTTCAGAAACAGTACGGTTTCAACAGAAGCTTACCATATTTGAAAAACATGCTATCCTGTTCACACGCAGCTTCTCTACAATATCATCAGAAACATGGATTTCTTCAGAATTAGCATAATCAGCTATGTTTATAGCTTCTGTATAGTGACTCAGTGATCCTCTCCAATCACCTTCTCGATAGACATCGTTCCCTTCATTGAAAAGATTTCTAACAAGCTCTCGTATAAATAACTGCAACAAAGAAAAGAAACACCCATCAACAGCAGTTTTGTTGTTTATGTTCCACATCTCCAAACACATTTTTAAACAGAAAATTTATACCCGTAACTTCACGGGGTCAAACTCATGCAAAACTTTCCTCTATATCAGTATTTTTTTTAAACATTTTTCCAAGACAATCTCTAACATTCAACACCACAATATAAGTAAATAAAAGAGAGGTTGAACTAATAAAAGAATTACTTTGTATAAGTAATATAAACACATCTATACTTGTATATATGTATATATGCTCTCTACATACTTACAGCAAGCAGCAGCCATAGCAACTGGCAAACCAGTAGCACACAAAGGCTGCTGCTGCACAGCAGATTTTCTTTTTAATCTAATATGAACGATCACATTTTTATCTAATACGTTCTCAAATCCAATGAAACCACCTCCCACTGGATAATGCTACAAAGATGAGTCTGAAAATGTAAGTAAAAAATTATGCAAAATAATAAGGTACAGAAACAAAACATGTTATTAAGATTTCTATCACTGAGGTCCTTCTATCTCACTTTTGCCGTGCTACTCTAAACTTTACCCACAGTAGCACGTTACTTTATCCAATGAATTCAAAGTCATCCCTAACACTAGCAGAGGAAGAGTTAATCCGAACTGCTATATGACTGAATTCTGGGCATCTAAACATCCAAACGTCTGCATCACAAGGCAGAGCAGTCCTCCAGTTCCAACACAGAAACACTGTAAATTACCATTATACCTCACCATTACTTAAATGATGATTAAAACCAAGAATAAATAGATCAATGATAAAAAAACTCCTCTGGAAATGCAAAAGTAATTTCATTACCTCATATTGTTCTTGTGTCCCTGGATAGGGCAAAGTAGATCTAGAAAAAGAATTACAAGATTTACTTATTACACACGTCGCTTAAAAGATGATCACATTGGAGAATGCTGGTTCTCAGTTGACGCAGTCGCACTTGCTGCAACAGGCAAACCTCCAAGTATTGTCTATTGCCTGCACCAAACAGGGCAGGAAAGCTGCAGACTGGTTCTGATTAAATAACTGTGCTTTCCTGTTACTGTTTTCATTTCAAGTTACATAGCCAGTCTTAACTCTGTATTAAAGTTTTGGATGCTTTCAGTTTAAAACCTCAATGTTTTTGTTTAAAAACAATTTCCTTCCTCTCTTTCACTGTGCAGAAACCAATTATACATAAGAAGTGCAATCTTCTTGTAAGTATTATAAAATGACAAATTGCCTGCCAAAAGAGCACATCCATTTTAATTAAGTCATACCAATGACACTACAGGAATTTTAAGAATACTTTTGTATGACACGCAAGAGAAATTTTCTCTAGCATAGAGCAGAGTTATTTACTTTAACTTTTCAGGAAGAAAACCAGGAACCATTTCCCTTCCATTTAGGTCATCTGCAAATCTAATTTCTAAATAATTTTTAGAAGGGTAGGGGGTTTTGGGGGTTTTTTTTCCCTTAAAAGTATGCCTTACATGGTGAACTAATGTGAAATTTCACAATGATTTTAAGCTAGAGAAGAATCCGGCATTGGTCCAAATGAAAACTAACTAGGGTGACTTTTCATTAGGTTACATGTCAGCTCCAGAGAGTTGAAATATTTAGGTAGTGGTGAGCAAACCCATCTCTTTCAATGTGGGTACACCCAGGCTTAGGTGCAGCTGTCCGTAAGTGTAAGGTGGCTTTTCACGCCATCAGCATTTTCCACTCGCCACAAAAATTCAGTGCTGACTTTTCCCAAAGGCAGAAAAGGAAAACCCTCCCACCTGCAATCTGCTCAGTTTGGGAACAAAGAGGGGCTCTGTCTTTTCTTTAAGACTGCTCTCCATTTCCATGTTAGTGTCAGCAAATATTCTAAGGAGAAAAACAGGTCCTCCTCCTTCCTCCGCTAGAGCTACATTACAAGGACTTGCCCAGAGCCGTCCATCTCATATGTGTAAGCACGTGTGTAAGCATACAAGAATAAAACCACAAAATCATACTCTATAAACTGGAGTCCTTTCTTAATGTCCTGCTGTCTAGTGCTTCTCTCTTCCGACACATTGGACATGTTATCCTCAACATCCACTTTTCAGATACGCCACTCCTCAAAAAGGAACAAAGAGAAATGGCTGTTAGTATATAGCAGTCTGTATTTGGACTAGAAGGCTCTGATCTCACACCAAGTCCATCATACGGGGATGACACCACAGCGCAGGGCTCTGGAGAAGCTTCCGACCACATCGCAGCACCCACGGCGATACGGGAGGAGCCTTGGGTCAGAGCCACCCCCCTGTCAGGGCCCAGTCACACAACACTGCTGCAGAAAACCCTTCCTCCCATCAGCACTTCAGCTTTGGTTTTTTATTTATTTACTCTGGCTGATGCAGTCACGTCAGTGAAACTACACCAAACCTCAAGTGCAGCTTGCGTGCGTTACTGAGAAACCAAGCTGTCCCCCTTTAACAGCTTTATACTTCTTTTATTTGGTTGTTGAAGTGGAAATAAACTCAAGACCCTGGTATCGTTATTAATAAAACCCAAACTGATTAGAAAATTACCATTAAGTCTAATTCCAGAGTCTCTCACCATCACCCAACCACTAAGGTGTAATTAGAAACAAAATCCTACTTCTCTAATAGTATCCACCAGTTGACCAAAGTGGGAAAACTTTGAAACTTCACCAGAGGCAAAGACTACTTACTTAATTTGAAAAACCAAATTACTTTAATGTAATTCCACATCATCAACTTGACATTTAAATTCAATTTAAGTTGTCTGAATCAGTGATTTTTTTTATTTCATGTCTTCCATTTACTATGAGGAGAATTAACTATCCCAGTCAAAACCAGCACAACTGAGTTTACAAGTATCCAACTTAAATTGGCTAAAATGATCTGTACAGTCTTCAAGATAAGGCTCCTTAAAGTATGGTTTCAGAGCTGCATACAGCTATGACTCATTGCAGCGTAAGAACACAACTTATTTTTACAAAAGAGATCAGCAGGACAAAGTTGTATTTTGAAAATACTGAAACACACAGAATCACAGAGTGTCAGGAGTTGGAAGGGAGCTGGAAAGCTGCCCCAGTGCAACCCCTGCCAGAGCAGGATCACCAGAGCAGTCACACAGGAACACACGGCCAGGGCTTTGGGTGTCTGCACAGAAGGAGACTCCACAACCTCTCTGGGCAGCCTGGGCCATGCTCCATAACCCTCACACTGACAAAGTTTGTCCTCATCTTCAGCTTGAACCTCCTGTGCTCCAGCTTGGGACCATTACCCCTTGTCCTGGCATTGGACATCCCAGAGCAGAGCCTGGCTCCTTCCTCCTGACACTCGCCCTTTCCAAATGGATCCCCAGGAATGAGGGCACCCCTCAGTCTCCTCTGCTCCAAGCTCAAGAGCCCCAGCTCCCTCAGCCGCTCCTCAGCAGGAGATGCTCCACTCCCTCCATCATCTTTGTGGCTCTGCGCTGGACTCCTTCAAGCAGTTCTTGTCCTTGAGCTGAGGGGCCCAGAATTGAACACAATATTCCAAATATTTCAAATATTCAGAAAAAAAATATTTTAGCTTGAGGAAATACATTTTTTTGTGAAGAAAACTACCTTCTGTAGTAATTTATAGTTAAAAAAAACCCAACAAAACAACAACAAGAAAAACCCCAAACCCACAAATTGCACGCAGTACATTTCTTTTACTCTTGAAACTAAGCTAAGAAAAGCCACTATTTTGTGCCAGGTTACCATTTCACATCAACGGTGGAAGAATGAAAACAAAGTAAAATAAAAATCAAATGAACACCCAGCAAACTCAACAAAATCCCGACCGAGCACAGCCGCTGGTTGGAGAAGATACCTCACTTTCTCTGCATGATTTGGAATAATGACACCATCTGAAGAGCCTTCAGCTCTGTTCATGTTCACGAGCTTTCCAAAGCACCTCCACCACTTCAAGTCATTACGATGAGCCCGACGGTAACATGTTCCTAAAGCGAGCATAAGAAACTGAGCCGTTTTCTTAAGGTCACTAAGCACGTGAGAGGGAAGCACCCCTAGGTCCCCACTTCACCTCACTTCCCACTGTGACCTCTAACATCAACAAGCTTTGATAAAAACAACTAACTAAAACTCAGCCCAGAGATAAACATCACAGGCAGCTGCAGTAGTTGAACTGTCTGTCTAGGAATCTAAATAAGATGCAGTAATGTGCTCTCCAAGAGGAGCTACTCATGAGCACCTCCGTAACTGCTTTTCAGGTTGTGTTACGCATCATCCTCTCTTACAGAAGTTAGTTATACATACTGTGCTCTTGGCACGAAAGGCTTCTATTATAAAGTAAATGTTCTGAAGAATAAAAATAGAGTATCTGTGAAGAAATCTAAATATAAATCCCAAACCAAACTTTATTGGGCATCTGATTATTTCTGATCCAGTCATTCGCGGTTCAGGTTTTAAAACTGAGACAAGGGCTAACACGCCTAAGAAATTCTCACGCTAACCAAAGACAGCAGCAACATAAGCATATGCTCTCCCACAAAAATAAGTAAGCTATCTAAAACATATCTGAGTCCTCTGAGTTAATAACTGCCAAAGTAATATCTTGCCAACAAAGGAGTCCTGCATACGCTAAGACTTGGGCCAGTACGAAGATCAGCTTTACTCTAGTAGTTTTAAGCAGCTCCAGCGCTCCACACGAACAACTTGCAAAGAGATGAAAAGAAGTCCAACACAGTAACAACTGCATTCATCACCTCTAGTATAAATATGATAGAATAAATGATACGTTGAAATGTGACAATGTGTAGATCGAATCTCTCCAAAACAGTGAAGTTAATGGAAATGTTACAAACTGGCCTCGCAGATAAAGGTATAGCTAGCAAGTGATGAACATATGTGAGTGGTGTAAGTTATTACTCAAAGCAGCTTTCTATTTTTTTCCTACTTACTCATCTGCATCCATAAGTCATTCAGGCAAAAATTATCTTTCCTCAACACATTTGACAATTACACTGCCCCAGGATTTGATGATTTTGCAGAGGGCTGAAAATTGTTTCAGATACCACCTCTAACGGCATTCTCTCCCATCCAGATTATTCTGGGATCATCCTGAGCAACCAGAAACACGTTAGACCCATACGAGGCAAATAGCCGTGTCTTGACTTTTAATGTCATCCATCCATTTTCAAAGCTTAAAACCCCTACCTATTTAGCAACAGCTTTTATCCTCCATCTACAGGGAACTTAGAATTTAAAACAAATATACATACGTTAAAAATAATTCAAATGTTGCTTTGTTGCATTAAACGTAATATTTCTACAATCGATCGATACAAGCTCAATTTACAAAATCTAGTAAGGAAAAGAAGAAAAAACCAAAAGCAAAGCTGCCTGTCCTGGTTTACTGGGACAGAACTTGAGAGTCAGTTTTCTGCTGAAGAAAACTGCAGTTCTGTAAGGACTACACCACACTATTTCACGGGAACAAAGTTGATTAAAACTTTATTATAGGTCCCAGCTTGTGCTGGAATGCAGGTTGCCATAGTGCTCAGGGCCGTCAAGGTCTTGAGATAAACACGTGCAGAGGCTGGGAGAGCAGAAACCCAGGGGAGTCGACTCCAAGCTGACCCCAGGCTGACCAATTAATGTTCTTCATACCTTCAACATCACATTCACTGTAAACTGGGGAGTCAGTTCGCTGGGGATGGCCCATCTCTTCCTCTCTCTCCTACTCCATCTTCCATGCTGACATCTGGAGAGGGGCTCGTTTACCAACCTAACCATGAGGCCTACTCCCCCACAATATTGGCCGAGTATAACTCTGTGTATTTTATATTATAACTGTTATTAATACCAGGTTTTTATTATTATTTTATTAAATATATTTCTATTTCAACCCACGAATCTCCTTTCCATTTCCTGATCTTCATCCCGGGTAGGGAGGAGGCACTGGGTGACAGAGCAGCTGTCTAAACCATGACACTGCCTAAATCCAAACAAAGTAAAGAACAATTTGTGCTATTTTATCTTTATCACACCCTTCAACTCATCCTGTTTCACAAAAGCTGATACCAAGTGACAGAAAGTGTCCTGCCAGCAGCCAATGTCACCTTTTCCGATAGGTGCTGGTCCAGTTACACAAATAGGAGCTGTAGAGGAAAACAAGCCTGTGCCAGCCCTGGCAGGCAGGGGCTCCTACACTTTACTCTTACACAAAGCCCCTTCTGCCTCTCACTGGTTATTTGCTTTCCTTCCAGCACAAGGCAAGACATTTCTCTTGTTTTCTATATTTTGGCACTTCTGAGGAATTCAAGTAAGTTTTAAAGGACACTCCAAATATTTAGGATACGCCTCGGGTAATTCTTCAGGCACAAGTGCTTTGAACACAACAACTGCTAAACTGTCTTTCAAAGCAGAATCGATCTTTGGAAGGCAAGTCAATCAATTCACACAGAATGCAGAAAATTGAGTTTTTCTGTAGAAAGAAGAAAGGCCCTGGTTATTCTGACAAGAAAGGACACACTGCTCAGAACTTTGGACCCATTGGTAAACTGCAAATCTAGGGAGCAAGGATCTACGGTTTGCCACGCACACAAGTTCCCCCAGTTGAAAACTCGGTCCCGAAGCACAGGGAACTGGGCAGGACTAATCCCCTCTCTGGTTGTGTACAGTTCTGCAGACAGCTTACTTAGAGAGGAATGGAGAACAGAGGAAAAATGCACAACGTTATCTGGGGACCAGAACCACTACCACGGGAATTAATGACCTTCAGCTGACCAAACAATTGTTCACTATTGACATTAAAAGTTCCAGATATTATAAATTCTTCAACGAAGCATTCTCTGCACCTTCAGACCTAAATGCTGAAACCAACTGGAAGGCAGCAGTCCTCCCCGCACTTCCCTTTCCACAGAGCTAAAACCTAAAAACACGTCCATTTGTGTTCTTGTACAACACAGAAGCACACATCCCCTTGCTGTGCATCAAAGAGTTCACTATTAATGCAATTACTGGGTAACAGGAATTTTAAATTAGATCTTTGTACACAGCACATTGGAAATTTTATCCAGAATGCTGCTGATAGATCTCTACCAGCCTCAGTGGCTCAGCCGAATGATGAACGTTGACTGGGGTACAAGTC